TTAGAAAATAAAAATAAGAAAATAAATTTGTATTTTCAAGATCTAAAAAGGTGTATGGTAATTTAATTGGAAAGCAATTTCAGAATATGAAGATTGAAAACGCATTCGGTACTACAAGGTAAAAAAAGCATAAACAATGAATGATTTTCAAATAAGAAAATATTGTTTAATACAACTTGATTATGTATTGCTATCCTATCATGTGAATCCTTTTTCAAAAGTTTTTGTCAATATCTCATCCGTCTTTGCCTTGCTTTGCTTCTGGTTCCATATATAATCTAAATCTACCAGGTGGATAAAGATCCGTGCAATTCAATTGTGCGAAGCCAAGTGTGCTTACATATTGGCTGACGTATGCATATAGTTCCCTGTGATGAACGCCGTCAGCACTAGCTACGATGGATGGCAATAATGGGGTCCACTCCCATTTCCATCAATGGTAAAAACATATTGCCACAACATTAGTTTAAATCAGAGTGGAATTAAGTTTCTCACATACATTGTCAAGATTTTATGAAGATTCAAATATGAGACTCTTGATTTGCAAGTTTATATTTTTTTTTTCATTGAATTAGACCCTGTTAGCATGGTAAAGAGAAAAATTAAGAGTGCTACATTGCATATTGTCATACGTGCATACCCTACCATGAAGACAACACAACAATCGCTATCAACTGCATTTGGTTTGAATTAAAGAGCGGTAGGATGGGCTCGAGTCTCACGCTCAAACACAAGATGTACGCATGCATATACAATGATATGCTTACCACATTTTAATACCATCTTACAAGGCAGTTAATGTAGACAACCACCTCATTAAAATTATATTAGTTCTTTTTTTAGGAGATAATATTTTCTATATTTTTCATTAGTTAAATTTTTATAAAAAAAAAAACTAAACCCCGTTGAATTAGAGACCACTTTTCACTTTCATCTCTCTGCCTCCCCCAATTCCCTCTCTCCCTCCTTCTTGTCCTCCCCCATCATTGGCGCTTCGCTAGACTTCTGCCACAGCTTGGCCAAACTTCTGACGTCGTTCCGCCGCTCTACTCCTTCCTCCACAGTTTTAGGTTAGTACACCTTTGTTATAACATTCTTTTTCTGTTTAGCTTACCTTGTTTCTTATTTTTGGGTGAATGCTTTCTTCTCATACGTGATTATTGAATCGTTTATTTATTTATTCCCAATTAGTATTCAAATTAAGTTTGTTTTTACTAGTTAAACATGCTCTTCTTCAAATTAGGATTTGTTTCTAATTGTCGGCATTTTGTCGAACCTCTGCAACCCTTCCCCTGCCGCTCCATTGCCGCTCTACTCCTTCCTATTGGTGTTTGGTTTAGTACACCTATATTTGTACATCATATTCTTCACCCTCTCCCTTCTTAATCAAAGTCCTTCTTCTTACAAGCTCACAAAGCAATCAATCTAAAGAAAATCAGGACTGGAGTTCAGAAGGTGTGGACGAATGAGTTTTACTTTTTTAATTTTTAGGATGGGTATGATTTTTTTTAATTTTCTGATGGGTTTCTTTAATGTGTTTGCAAATTGCATCTATATCTGATTGAGTTATTTTTTGGTGTTTTTTAATTAAGGATTTGATGGTCATATGATAATAGCTTTTTCATGCACCTACAGGTACTTGCTACCAAAAAAAAAAGAAAAAAAGAAGCCACATGAGTTCCTTGCAGTGATGACTCTCCATGTTAAGGATGTTATTTTGAAGATATTCACCTTAGGGTTGATGCGTGCTGATAATAGATTGTATCTAATTCATGTACTGGATTTCATTTGTATCTCATTCATAGTTAGAGATCTAATAATTGAAGCATAATTAAGTTAGAGATCTAATAATTTAAGCATAATTAAGCATAGCAT